GGGGAGGGGGAGGAGCCCGGCCTTCAGGCTCCGCCCCGAGGGAGGGGCCCCGGCTCTCGGGCTCCCCCTGTCGCCCACCTTCTGCCTTGCAGAGCCTGAGCCCAATGCACCCCTGAGCTGAGTCCTATGAACTTGGAGGGTCTCTGGGGTGCGATGCTCCCAAATCCTCACATTGCGCCCCCAGGCAGTGACTTTGTAAACGGTGGAGAAGAACTGCCAAGACCCTATGCTTAGAGGGATTCAGGAGGCGCCTCCTGAGCTTCCAAAGTCCTGCACAGCAACCCAAACACTGGGCTGCCGGCTTCTGTCACTGACCTGGGGCCTCCAGCTCCAATCAGGAGAGAAAAGAAAGAGGCCCTTAGCATCGCCGCCCTCGGACTCAGGACCCAGGCCCAGCCTCCTTTTCAGACCCCAGTGCCCCTCATCTGTACATCCCACTTCAGTCAATTTATCCCTCAAGGGTTTTAACACCGGGAATCTAGATCCACAATCCCTTCCTCCTGTACCATCTCAGAATTCGGGACCCAAATCTTCTTTTTCAGGAACGTGCACCTTCAGCCCAGCCCTCCCAGACCTTGGGAATGAGGGAACAGGAGTTTCTCTAGTGAGCTCAAGGGCAAAGCGGGACTCAAACTACTTGTGCTCATCCAGGTTCGAGGGCCCAGGTGTCCTGCACCATGCTCCGGCCCGGAGATGCACAGGCAGCTTTACAGAAGTGCTGCAGGGCCGGGGATTTAGCTCAGTGATTCCACCACCTGCCTCTCAAGCGCAAGGTCCCAAGTTCGATCCCCGGTACCAAAAAAAAAAAAAAAAATAAAAAAAAAAAAAAAAAAAAAAGAAAGAAAGAAAGAAAGAGAAAATAAATGCTGGAGCCTACCCTACCGGGAGAGATGGGATGGCAGATGGCCTTGTGGGCACTCAGAGGCCCAGCTGTGGTCTGGACACAGCAAATGCTGCTTTCCTTCTGGATATCTGAGCACTGCAGCTATCAAACACAGTTTTCCTTAGTAAAAGAAAGGGTACAGAGGAATTTCCTCAGAGGCTTGTGTGGACTGTGTCTGAGGGTGACATTCATGAGACCAAGTCTAGTTTGTACTAGGAAGGGCAGGATGTCTGAGCACTTAGAAAGGACTCGCTTGGAGGGGAGGCCCAGATCCATGGGTTTCAGCAGAGAAAGGACTTCTGGAGCCCCAGGTGGGAGGGAGAAGGCTGGGCCAGAACCCCCAGGTCTGAGGGAGGGGACTGGATCTGCAGGAGAGATCAGGGATCTGAGGGAGGAGGGTTGGAGCCTGGAACCCTGAGTCTGAGGGAAAAGGGAGGGCTAGGCCTGGCTCCCTGGGTAGAAGGGCGGAGGTCAGGGGTCTGAGCAAGGAGGCTGGGTCTGGACTCATCGGTCTGAGGGAGGAGGGTTGAAGCCTGAACCCCTTGGTCTGAGAAAAGAGGGCACATAATAGAGAGCTGGTTTTCGAGCCCAGTCTTTTGGGGTGATAGAAGCCAAGGATAGGTCTCCCATGGCGGTTGGTTGCTGGAGTCAAGGAAAGGCCTCCTGGTTCTTAAGCCTTAAGTGAGGAGGGGGCTTAGGGCAGCTCCCCTAGCCCAGGAATCTGAATCGGGAGCTAACATCTCCACACCGGTTCTGAATCCCGCCCCTCCCCTTTCCCCTTTTTTATTTGTAGCCCCTCTCTCCCCTGTCCCAGGAGGAACCCAGAGGTCGGGAGCCAGGGTAGGGGGCAGCCCCTCCCCCAGCCCTAGCAGGAGGAGGGGTCCCCAGGGAGGCCCGGGGGGGGGCGTGGGTCTCCGGCAGGGACGAACGGGGACTGAATGTTAATCGCATCCCGAGTGAGTGTGTGTGCGCGAAAGCAGTGAGTGTGCGAGTCCCTCCCGCTCCGGCTCCTCCAAGACCAAGCCGGGCCGCGGCCGCAGCCACCACCCTCCGTCTGCAGCCTCCCGGCCACCAGCACCCAGCTGGGGGTGTCGGCCTGGGTGGGTCCGCCCAGCCCCCAGGGGTCTCCCGTGCGACTGCCATCTGCCCGGTGAGAATGCGTGTCCGGGCGTCCGGGGCGGGCTGCGGGGGGTGTGTCTGTGTCAGGGATGCGGCGGCCGAGGGAGGAGGGGTCTGTCTGTCTGTACCGACCCTGAGCTGCCTGTCTTCGTGTTGCGGGGGCCCCCAGTCCTCCCCTGAGCCCCCAAACCTGCATGGATCGTGTGTACCTGGGTTCTGTGCATCCTGCTTGCGTCCGGCCGGGAGTCTGGGTGTCCCCGGATGCCTGTGTCCTTCTGTCTGTCCAAACAGCCCCTGACGGCAGTGGCAGCCTGGCCCCCATTGGACCCCCTGCGGGCGAGGGTGTGTGTGTGTGTGTGTGTGTGTGTGTGTGTGTCTCCCTGCTCAAGCTCGGGGGTGTTGAGGGGAAATCCCAGGGAAGTGAGGCTGTGCGTGTGTGCGCGTGTGTCTGTGTGCTTGCTTCTGCCTGTGCTTGAGAGTGGGGGTTCCAGGGGGGGTCTGGAGGTGGCCAAGCAAGGAAGGGGCGAGCGTCCCTGCAGGCAGTCTCCTGCTTCTCGCACAAACACGCACACCAGCCACCGCTTCAGAGGTGACCCAGACAGACAGACAGACACAGACAAGGGGGGGGGGGCTGCCGAGGGCACAAAGGAGGGGTGCAAATGAGCTGGGGAGAGGCGGGATGGGGCACATGGACAGGGGGGAGGAGCCGGGACTGAAGCAGCAGAGGGGGGCACCCCTGGTGGGTGGAGGGGGATCCCCACGGGGTCGAGGCCGCAAGAGGACACCCCGACAGCCTCCGCAATGTCCGGGGCCCAACTTCCAGCGCAACATGTGTAGCCTCGTCCTCGCCTAGTCCGGGTGGCCGCAACCTTGGGGGACAGACAGGGCAGGTCAGGATCAGAGAAGAGGAGGGAGAGACAGCCAGGGACAGGCAAGAGGTCCCTGCCGCTGCTGCCACCGCCGCCAGCACCACTGCCTCTGCCACCGCCCCGGGGCCTGGCCCCCCCACCGGCTCCCTGAGCCCTCCGCAGAATCTTCGGGTCCCTGGACACCGGGTTCCGGCCCTGGCCCCCCCGAAATCCCCCCCACAGAACAGGGTCATGAAAAGGTAAGGCCGGGGCAGGGGCCATGGGGGTGGGGTGGGGACGTGGACCCCCAAATCTGGGACAGGGAAAGTTGGCCATGGGGCTCATGCATGAAGGGGCTTTAGGGCAGGCAATGGTCCCCCATGTTCCTCGGGGATTCTCTTCCACCCCCATTCTCCCTCTCTGAACCCCTTTTCTGGGTCCCTACACCTCAAACGTAAGCCCCCCCTTGCTCTGACACTGCTCCTTTCCCCAGCAGCGCCACATACCTCACACCTATCTCTGCACCCCCTCCCCGCATCAGGCTCCCGTGGCCGATGTCCCTCTCCCGCTCTCCTCCGGCTCGCCCCTCCCCTCTCAGAGCTATGAGTCTGCTATTAATACTCCTGCCAAGGACCTTGAGGGCATCTAGGCCCCCAGCACCCTCGCCCCAGGCTGCCACCCCTTCCTCAAGGTTCTGAAATGCCCTTCCAGCCCCTCAAATGCCCGGGGACCGGGTGGGGAGACCCGGGGTGGGGGGCAGGCGCCATCTGCAGCATGACCGAGGGGGGAAGCTATGGATCATCAGTGGTCGCTCCCCTTTTCTGCGATGCCGGGGTGGGGGAAGCAACAGAGACAGGGACACCCCAGGAATCTCTGGCACCCTCCTCCACCTCTTCAGTTTGGGGAGAGTCTGTGCGGTGTTCAGGATCTCAGCGGGGCGAGTGGGGAGGCTGGAGGTGGGGGGGGCACCGGAGGACAGAGCTCAGCACCCAGGCTGCTGGGTCTGGGACTGTTGGGTATGAGATGGGAGGGAGCCAGGGATCCCAGGTCCTGGGGAGGAACAGAGGGGAACTCTGGAGTCCTGGGGGAGGCAGGGGCTGCTGGCCAGGCCCCGGAGTCCATGGGAGAAGTTGGAGGGCAGCACTCAATGTCTGGGGGAGGAGGGATGGGGCTCAGGTGCCTGCCCGGGGTTGGGGTCTCACTTTTTGGCTCCTGGGTAGATGGGAGTTGGACAAGACTCAGGAGGAGGAGGAGGAGGTGGAGCTGGGGGCCTGGACTCCGGCGTCCCTGGGGGTGTGGGCTCTGGGGATGCTACTCCTCAGTCCTGGAGGGGTAGGGGAAAGTGTTCAAACCCCCACAGGGAAAGGACCGGCCTCCAGCCTCCTAGGAAGGGGGGGCTGCCCTCCTGGGGCTCAGCAGACAGCCGAACCCTGGGGTCTCCCAAAAGCAGAGGCCAGGCAAGGGGTGGGCCTGAGAGGGGCACAGGAGGGACTGAGGGGTGAGCAGCCACCAGGAAGGGAGGGGAGCGCGAGTGTTAACCCCGCGGGGGCCAGGCCACAGCTGTGGGTTATTTTGGGGTGGAGGGGGGGCTGTTCTCAGCGCTGATTGAGCCAGCTGCTTGGGGAAGGGCAGTGCAGAGGAGGGGCAAGGAGGAGCCAGGGTTTGGGAGGGAGGGGCCTGCCCCAAGCCCCTGCTCCCTCCTAGGGAAGACAGCGGCCTGGGATCTCTGGGCAGGTCCGGTGGAGGGAAGAAAGGAGGGGCTGAGGCCTCCAGGCAGGGGCGCGGGTGTGGGCCTTTCCCAGTCTGAGGGGTGGACGAGGCCTGTGCTACCATGGCAACCGGACGGGAGGCTGATTGACAGCCAAGAGAGAACCCTCCCCCGTCTGGACCCTCACTCCTTCAGGGAGCCCCCAGTGCAGGCCCCACTGCCTCCCTAGGAGCCAAGAGCCAGGTCCCCCATGACCTCCTCCCTCAGACCCGGGACCCAGGCACCTGGGCTCCCAGCCCATGCACCGCAGGCAGCCAGCATTCAACAGGGGCAGTGGAGGCAAAGCTGTATTTCCTCTAATTTACTAAATTGCTCTGGGCTGGATGCCAGGGACCCCCCTCCCCAGCTCTGCACAGCTGTGCCCCCAACCCTGAGTCCCAGCCTGGCCCATGACTCTCCCATTCTGAGAATGGGGGGACAGAGACAGGAATGGGGGGAACTGGGGGTTGTGGGGGGTGAGGGGCAAGGCCTAGGGGGCATTTTCTCTCCATAGGACACCTCGCTAATGTCTCTTCGCTCTCTCTCCCCACACACCTGACCCCTTTTCCCTCTCACATTTTTTTCCTCACTTTTTCTTCCTTTTATTTCTGCTCCCTCCTGCCACTCGCCTTCCTGGCTGGCCTTTCATGTCTGTGCCGGGCACCTCCCTGGCGGGGTCTCGGCTCTGCCTTGCTCGCTATTTCTGTCTTTCTGTGCATTTGCTCTGCTCTGTCCGCTCTGTCCCCAACGCTGTGCGTGCCTGTCTCTTGGTGGCCCTGGGGTCTGTCTCCGGCCTCCACTTGCTCTATCTCCCTCCCTGTCCAACTTTCTGTCTCTTCTGGCTCCTGCCTTCCCGCCCTGTCTCCACATCTCCTGCCTCTCCCTATTTCTGTCCCTCCTCTGGCTCTGCTTTCTCCCTGCCTGTCACTTTGAGCCTGTCCACCCCGTCTGTTTTCCCTCCCTTCTCTCCCTAACCCTCCTTTCCTCTCCCTGCTCTTCTGTCCCATCGTCTCACTGTCTCCTCTTTCCCCCGTACCTCTGTGTCCCTCCCGCCTTTGTGCCGGGTCCCCCACTCCTCTCCTTTCTCCCCTCACCACCGCTGTATTGGGGCTCCCCTCCGTCCCCACACGACACTGTCCTGTCTCTCTTGGTCGCTTGCTCCCTCGGCCTGCATCTGTCTCTCCCTCGGTGTCTCTGCCTCTCCCGGGGTCTCCGTCTCCCTATCCTGAATCTCTCCTGTGGTCTCCGTGTCTCCCCCTCTGTCTCTGTCCTACCTGTGTCTCTCCTGTCTCCCCCTCCGTCTCTCTCCCCCGCTTGGCTCTCTCTCCGTCTGACTCTGCCCCTCACCTCTGTC